ACAACTAAAATATAAATCAAACAGGCTAACGCTAATGTCCAAAAATTACCCTAAAGCTGCGACATGTAAGGCAGGGTTTCACAACCAGACTTGCTTAAACTACTGGTTTTGCTGGGTCTCTACCGCTGAGGGGCAGGAGCTACAGGCGTAGACCACTAAATCCTCAGCTGCAAGAGATCCTGCCTCAGTAGCGTGTGCGTGTGTGCGTGCGTGTGTGTTTGTGTGTGTGTGTGTGTGTGTGTGGTGTGGTGTGTATGTGTGCTTGTGGGTGGATGGGTATGTGGTGTGTGTGCGTGTATGTGCGTTTGTGTGTGTGTGGTGTGTAGGGGGTGTGTGTTTGTGTGTATGTGGTGTGTGTATGGTGCGTATGTGTGCTTGTGGGTAGATGGGTGTGGTGTGCGTGTGTGTGTGTGTGTGTGTGTGTGTGTGTGTGTGTGGCAGGGGAAGGGGAGCTACCCAACCCGCAGACACACCCTCCCTAACACCTTGCCTCACGAGGAGGCCGGACAGGGCCTGTCTGGGGCCCGCACTGAAGGAAGGGTTACATTTTCCTGTCAGAATTCATGTTCTTCCCCAACATCCCCCTCCCACCCCGCCACCTAACACAGCCAGTCGCGGGGCCACGGTATTTCCCTTCTGGAACCCCCGCCAACACCACGTACAAACGGAGCCCTCGAGTGAACCTCGCCTCCCTCGGCGGCCGCGTGCTGTACAGAGACGCAGAGCAGGAAGGCTGTGCGCAGGCGTGGCAATCTGCACATGCGCAAGCGCAGAGAGAGGCCTGCGCTTGAAGGTCTCGCGAGAGTTACAGGAACAACTGGCGTTTCTCAGCCAGAAAAGTCAAAAGCGACGCCCTTGGCGCCCTCGCTTGTGAGGTACGCAGCCGACACAAGCATGGCTCTGCCTCGTTAGCTCTTCTGTGCACAGAGAGAAACGTGTTCTGGTTATGGACGAGGCCGAGGGAGATTCCCCCAGCTCGGCCAGGCTCTGCCCCAGCTATGTCAGGAAATCATGGCCTCTCTTTCCTTATGCCTTGCCCATTTTCTAGACACTAGATATTTTCTAAGATGCTGGGGGCATCCTGGGTTGTGTCTAGAAGAGAATGATTGCCAAGGCGTTAAAACAAGATGCGTCTTGCCTATTCTGACGACGCCATGGATCAGGCAGGGAATTTAGTCTGCAGGAGGCTGATGGGGAGCTGAGGCCAGTTTCGAACTGACCCCCTCCCAAAAGCAAAGAATAGAAAGGCCAAGCCAGTGCTCAGTTGTCCGGGAGAGCATAAGAGCACGGAGGCCCCAGAGGGACTCCACAAAGGAAGCTGGGTGGTATGACAACCTGAGCCCTGAGCTCTAAGCCTCCTGCCTGGAAAAACTGAGAATTCTTGACTCTGTGACTTTTGGCAACTTATCCTTTCAATGTCTACATTTCCTTCCTCAATAAAATAGCAATAACAAGATTTACTTCATTGCCTTAAAATATTAAAAGGTATTAAACTGTCCCAGCACACAATAAGTGCTCAATAAAGGTTAATTCTTGTTTCAAACAGTAGCTTCCATTTTTGGTCACTTTTAGTACAGAGCAGGTATTTAGATATCTGGGCTCAAAGACCATGTCCTCTCCCTGCCCTGTGTGACATAGATGAAGGGAAGAAGTGGGAAGTGCAGCTATGGAGGGATGATTATTAGAAAAGGTCCACAACTACAAGATACTAAAATTAGGCTTGAAAGTCAGTAAGGAAGCGTGGTAGTAGATACTAGATTACTAAATTATAGCAGAACTTGAACGACAGGGTAAAGAATAAACTTTGAACATTTTGAATCTGGAAAAAGACTTCAACAAAATATCTGGAAAAACTGAGCGGTGACGGTGCATGCCTTTAATCCCAGCACTCAGAAGGCAGAGGCAGGCAGGTCTTTGTGAGTTCAAGGCCAGCCTGGTCTACAGAGTGAGTTCCAGGATAGCCAGAGCGACACAGAGAAACTGTGCCTCAAAAAAAAAAAAAAATAATTAATTAAATAAATCTGGAAAAAAAAGAAAAACTGTATTAATCGTGATTCCAGATAAAAGACTTAAAGACATGAATATAGTAAGCTTCAAGGAAGTGAGCTTTGACTTCATATATGCGTACATAAACACATGTACAATATATAACCAAAAAAAATATATTTCTCATTCTTAAAAGAGACAAGAGATCAGGTATGGCTCAGTGGTAGAGAGAGTGGTTGCCTTAGAATGAAGCCCTGGATTGGATCTTCTGAGAGCTAAATCATCTAAGGGAATCTCAGGTGAGGAATTGCTCAAATCAGATTGGTCTGTAGCCATGTCTCCTAAAAGATGATAACTGATGTGGGAGGTCCCAGCCCACTGTGAGTGGTACCAGCTCTCCTTAGGTGCGTGGCTCTGGGCAACATAAGAAAGATAGCTGACCAGAGAGAGCAGAGAGTGAGCCAACAAGGATTCCTCCCGGGTTCTGCTTCAGTTCCTGCTTAAATTCCTGTCCTGACTTCCTGAAAGGATGGATTGTGACCCAGAAGTCACTTCCTCCACCTAAATTGCTTCTGGCCAGAGTGAGCATTCCATCACAGCAACAGAAAGCAAGCTAGAACATCTTCTGACCCAGTTTCAGAACAGTCTCAGCCTAAATTTCCTTCCTACAAAATTTCTGCCTTGGCTCTGATTGGCTAGCCATACTATTAAGTCAAACTTTGCTGTCTCTTTGTTTTAAACATATAATTTTATTAAGAAATTGATCATCTCAGCGCTCAGGAGGCTGCAGCAGAAGGCTCACAAACGCAAGGCCAATCTGAGCTACATAAAGAGTTTGAAGCCAGCCTAAGCTATGTGGCAAGACCTGCCCCCCCCAATAAAATTACAGTGCTGCGAGTAATGCTTTAGGGGGGAGGGCGCATTTTATACATTTGTCAATAGATGATGTCAGCTAGGAAGGATTTCACTCAATATGTTATCAGTTCTCTAAACTCTCAAAAAAATAACTAATAAAAAATGAGTGGTTTTTTTGCCAGGTGCTTTGGGAAGCAAAGTTAGTGCTTTGGGAAAGCGGGAGTTAAAACCCTCTTGGAAGTTAACTTGGTATAAGAGGGTGAAAGCCTGTGTTGCTCCAGTTCTAAGCAAATGCTTTCGCTTTCTAACAAGGCTTTCTGCAGGAGACAAACTGTACACAGTAAACGAGGTAAGGATGAGAATTGCTGCTGTTCATTAATGCCAGGGAAGTTACTCATTCATACACCTAACAGAAGCTCTAGGAATGTGAAAGTACTTCCAAATGCCGGCCTGTTAAAATTCCAGAAAACAAGCCTCAAAGTTCGAGTCACTGGTGCCTGCCACAAGTAAGTTACTGAAGTGGCGTCTCCAGAGAGAGACTAGGGCAAAGGACAGAACACACCACGAGTCAGCAGGAAAGAAACAACCCGGCAGAGTGGGAAGGATTCTCTGCGGTTCTCTCTGCATTTGCCTGCTCTCATCATCATGAAGTGTTTGGTGTGTGCCGAGGCAGAGAGGAAACCAGCAGCTACAGGGACTTTGTCTTAGATTATGGCAGTAATTTTGATGTATAAGCAAATTGACTTTGCTTTGTATCTGCGTTATAATCTCTTAAGAATTGAGGCATTGGTTTATTAAATATTATGCAAACATTTTGTGTTTTCATCATGTATTTTGTTTGTGTGTTTTGTAATTCTACACTGTATTGGCTGTTTATGTGGACTCTGAAAGAGCAAAATTAGAAGCTCAGAGGAGTCCAAGAAAAACAGAGGCACCCTGTTGTCCATGGAAAACACTGGCCTTAATGAGAAACATGGCTTCCAGGCCTAGCTCGCTTTTATGTAACTGTGGAAACTTAGTCAGGCTGCTTAGTGTTTCTTTCCCTTATCCTTGCCATGAGGAAGTCAGCCCAACCTGCTATATCTTATAAAGTAGATTTATGAATATATTAAGCAAATGTCTGTAGGGAAACATTATAGATTAGCCTACCTACCCTGTGTGGGTATGATTGCTCTATTGTGTCCAAACAACCTGGTGTTCCAAATATAAATATTCCCTGTACTTTAACATTCTTGGCCTTCTGGGTGATTGAGCATAAACTCAGTATTTGGCTCAGAGTCATTTCTCCAAAGCTATATAATCATCTTATTCTGCATAAGTTCCCCTATTATGACCCCTGTAGAACAACGCATTCTAGAAGACAGTTTTTAATGCTAGTAAATGAGATTGCATCCATTAAAATATATGTGTGATGTATGTGTGATATATGCATATGTTATTTTTATATATTATGTTGTAAGATATTTTCAGGCATTGGAAAGACTTGAAAATTACTAACAGTTGCTTTTTGCTTGGTAGACAAAATTTTTTTAAAAAACATAGATTTACCAAAAAGTTCCTGAGAAAGACGCTAAAGATGTTTCAGGGTCACTTTTTAAAAATAATTTTAAGTTCATTGTGCCATGTCACCAAGCCCATCATTAACTGAGGTTTTGTGTCTCTGACTGCAGAAAGAACGCTGTTCAAGAGGCAGTCTGAGCACCTGTCCTTGACTGTTTGTAAAGAGAGACTCAAATGTCTTCAGATCGTGAAAAGTTGCTTACTTCAGAAATGTTTTTAAACATCAGTGGAAACATAAACACTAAATAAGCCACATTGTTATATTTGGGAGGACTGGGCTTGTTGCAGTATTATTATTATAAACAATCATCCTGGACAGAAAACGGAATTTTTATAGCAGGAGATGCTAACACAGTTGTACTTAGATCTGCTGACCATCTGAGGGAGTTGGAAGTTAGCAGTCGCATCTCTAGTTGATCTTTGCATATTTTAACCCAAATATGGTAAAGGGAGGGGCTACAGAAGGGAGTGTCCATAGAATAAAACAGGCTCGGACGCTGTGACAGAAACGATTGTTAAATACTCGAGAACTCTGTACTTTGCACTTCTTGCTTAGATCTAAACTTGGAAACTTTTCTGAGGAGCTAAGCGTCCTTTGACCTCCTCTCTTGTGAATTGCAGAAATCAGACCAGTCTACTTGGTAAAATGACTGCTTGTGTTGCTGAAGAACCTATTAAAAAGATTGCTATCTTTGGAGGGACTCACGGCAATGAGCTGACAGGAGTGTTTCTAGTTACTCACTGGCTAAAGAACGGTGCTGAAATTCAGAGAGAAGGGCTGGAGGTGAAGCCATTCATAACCAACCCAAGAGCAGTGGAGAAGTGTGCCCGATACATTGACTGTGACCTGAATCGTGCTTTTAACCTTGAAAATCTTAGGTAAGACTGTGATCTATATTCTGTGAGAGCTTGCTTGTGTGAAAAGCAGTAGTCACTGGGAGGGAGAACACGTGCTTGCTCGAGTCAGTGGTCAGACCCGTCCATAGAGCGTCCTTAACCCAAAAGATCACTTTCGCTTTTAATCATGCTGCATTGTGAATTATGCAGCTACCCAAACTCAGCACTCACGTGCTCTGCTGTAAACTTTTTACAGCTCCAGGCTTCGCTGGTTATTCTTTTCTTTTTATTGTATTGCCACACAGTATAAAGCAACAAATGGGAAAGATCATTATTTCTGACTCATGTGTCTTGAAAGACACAAATATAATAATCCTATGCATGAAGTTTGTGTTTGGGCAAGCTTGGACAATGTGTGAAAATAAAAATAAGACTCGAAATTCTTCTCAAAAAAATAAGAATAAGTCAATGCTTGGTTGTTATGTAAATTAATTCGGTCACTGTAAACATGCTGTTTTGTGGGAAATTCACCACTGTGCTTTCTTGTAGGGTGTGTTTATGGTAAAGTTCTAGCTGAGAAAATGATGACGCTTTTATTGATGCTCGTTGGGTGAAAGAGTGAGTGAGCATCCAGAGCCTGAGCACATAGGGCAGTGTGTGGCCGGAGGGAGAGATGCAGTGTACGGGTGGAGGGAGAGATGTGTTCATCTCTAGAGGTGGGGTATCACCACTGAGGAAAACGAGGGCTGAAGACACCACCTCCGACCTCTCTAAATTTGGGTTACAGCTGATTTAGACAGTTCCATGTGGTGTGTGTGGTCACCACACTCTAGGTTGATAAATACCAGTTATTTCTTCCCTTGTCTATATCATAATATTTGCTATTGTATATGCCTCTAAGTGTTTTTCCTAGCATCATTTTTTTAACCTAAAAATATTGTTAAGCATCTACCAGGTGTTGCGGATGTACAAAGCAGTGTACACGATGGTTTTTACGCTTGGCTGGTTGGTAGACTGCTAGCTTAGATGAAAGGCGCCCAGAGGAGCACCTAACGGCTTTATGTGCTTGCTTTCTTGTCTTAACGCACTAGGTTATGGGAGGCACTGTCCATGCAAGTTCCTAAACTCTTGTTAGTTTTTATTTTGAGACAGGGTCTTACTAAACTAACCAGGTTGGTCCTGAGCTTACTCTGTAACCTAGGCAGGCCTGAGCTTTTGACCCTCCTGCCTCACACTGCCAAGCAATTGGAATTATAGGCCTGTGCTAGCAGGACTGGGCCGTATGCTTGTTTGTTGATAAATGCTAGTTAGAGAATTCCACGGCCCAGTCTTACCACAGAACAAAAGAACGTAGATAAAACAAAATTCATCTTTACAAAATATTTGCTTTCCCCGGAAGTTACACGGCAGTGCTATTTTGTGCACCAAATAATTTTATTAAAAATTTAAATTTTAGAAATACTTTTATCTTCATGATTGAGGTTATATCAGGACAATTAATGTTTATTCACCTAAAATAGCTATTAACTAGCACATATATGACAAGTAAGATTTGTTGAAGAATTAATCCTTTAACCTGTGTATTAGCTTTCCAGATAGCTCTGAAATGCATTGGGGCAAGAACAGCCAATAGTACCTGTTCAGTGACAAGTTCGCATTCTCTTTCTTAGTCTTAACAGTCCTCAGAGGTTAGACAGCTCTGTCTCACGGTGGTTATGAAAATCGTGAGAAAAATAACCAACGAACCTCTCCGCCCTCTTCTAGGCAGCTGTGGGAATCTTTTCCCACATCCCTCATTTCAGTGGTGACACCATTACCCCCAAGTGCCTCACAGAGGCAACCTTAGAGCCGTCTCTGCTCTCCAGCCCCCTTGTCTGGTGTGGTAAGTTCTCCCACATACTCTTTACAGAACTCCCCAGAGCAGCCAGGCCTGTATTCACAGATCTGTAACCTCTGCTACTCAGGAAACTGAGGCAACTTATCAAGATCCTTCTTTAAAATAAATAATTCAAGAAGTGGGCTGAGGTTGTATCTCAGATGGGAGGGTACTTGCCTAGCATAGATAAGGCACTGGGTCCTCTCTCATGCTATAAAAATTATATATATTTTCATTGTTGTTATGATGATATATAGGCACTCCACAAAGCCAGCCTTCCTCTGTGGACAGATAATATAGCCTCTTACAGGACGTACATGCATCCAGTTTAACCCGGGCTTCTTCCCATGAGTTCTTCATGTGGTGACCACAGCACTGCCCCTAGCATAGAAATCAGCTTTCCCTTGCTGGATGCTCTTTATAAATCTACTATCCAGAATAGATCTAAACAACCTACTGTTACAACACGGCTATTATAGCAGTGTGGCTACTAGTGCTGCCCAAGGTCTGCCCCCTGCCTATTCTTGCAGTCTGGTCCTGCGGGATTCTGCTTATGGTAACCAGACCCCCCAGGCATGAGAATTCAGATTGTCTACTATCTTTCAAAACTTAAAAGCTTGACTCTGAACATCTGAGTGGGTAATGGTGCCATTTATCCAAAAGGAAATAAATAAGTTCTGGAGTGACCTTGTGAGATAATATGAACTAATCTTATAGGAACTAACTTATAGGAGTTAACTTTGAAAAACGCCTGTGGTGTGTGTGTGTGTGTGTGTAAGAGAGAGAGAGAGAGAGAGAGAGAGAGAGAGAGAGAGAGATCACATTAGGAGCTGTATTTGGTTGCAAATAGAAACTCAAGAATAATAATCTAAACTTCTCGTTCATGAACGTTATATGCAAATATAGGTGGCCCCGGTGCAGTAGCTCCCTGATGTCACCAATGCCCTTGACTCGTCTGTCTTCCCACTGTACTTTACTTCACATGCTGTTTTATTCCTTATGGTCTTGGCTTCATTATCACAAAAAAGCTGATGCACCTTCCTGATTGCAGATGAGATTTCCAAGCAGGAAAGACTCTGGCACAAACTATTTTTTAAATGGCCAGGTAATATAAATATATAAAATTATGTAAACATACATATATATGTTTGAGAAACAATAGAGAAGTATAAGTTTAAACCATTACCATGTATAGAACACCCTCGGAGCTCTCTTCCATAGTCAAACTGAGAGGCCGGGTGAAGTATGCAGACACAGGCAGTGCTGACAGGCAGGAAAAGGGGAGAAGAAACAAGTGAACTCATGACAACAATGAATAAAGTAACAAAAACCCTTGTGAATTCTTGAATCTATAAAATTGTAAATTTCATTCAGACAACTGCAGGCCTATAATTCTAGCTACTTGGGAGGCTGAGGCAGGAGGCAATCCTCCACCCTTCACTACAGAATAAATTTAAAGCCAACCTGAGAAAATTAGCAAGACTGTCTCAAAATAAAAAAGAACAAGAAGGAGGTGCTAGGACTGTAATTCAGTGACAGAGCTCTTGCCTAACTAGAAGAGGCTCAAAGTTCAATCTTCAGCACTGTAAAAAAGAAAAAAAATAGTAAAGAGAGGGTGGATAGACCCATTTGAGAATATAGTAATCACTTATTAACCCTTGTTCCAGAAAAATTATGTAAGTATGTTTGGTAAGTTTAGTACTTTGGGAGGGTTTGTGGTTTGTTGTTTGAAAAGCATGTCCTACCTAAATCATACCCAGTCTTCAATTTAAAATCCCAATAAAGACATAAGCACCTGAGTTGAACTACGTCTTTGCACGAGAACCACAGAGGTGGTGGAGAGAGATGGTCTTGCCCCATAATAAATAAACCATGCACCATAACTACAAGGAAGTGCTTATCAAATTAAAGACTTATGTTTTTTTCAAAGTTGAAGACACATGGTAAATTCCACTTGCAAAGCCTTACCCAAGACCAGCCACATCAATAAACCTAGCATTTTTATAAGCACACCAGTGCAGCGCCGGATATATGGGATCCGCAGGAGAAAAGGCGCAGTTTTTCATTTGCGGAAGTTTCTGATACATTTTCGTGTTCTGCACGGGTTTTTAATCTACACAAGAGGTTTACAGTTTGTTCTTTGTGTACTGTCCCCATTGTGTATTTATGTTATTGTAGCCATAGATGAAGTTATTCTTTTTTCTTTCTGCTGAAACAGCAAGGAGATGTCAGAGGATTTGCCATATGAAGTGAGAAGGGCTCAAGAAATAAATCAGTTATTTGGTCCAAAAAATAGTGACAATTCCTACGACGTTGTTTTTGACCTTCACAACACGACTTCTAACATGGGCTGCACTCTCATTCTCGAGGATTCCAAGAATGACTTTTTAATCCAGATGTTTCACTATATTAAGGTAATCTCAAAGGTATTGATGTGTGTTAGCTTAGGATCCTTTCTATTAAAGTCATTGAAAGATGTCAGGAAGGCGGGACAAAGAGAAATGGATTGTATCCCATGGCCAAAAGTGAGGCTTGATGAAGTGTTACACAAAGGAAGAGGCAGTGCTGGCAAAAAGAGAAAAAGAAGTAAAACATTAAACACAATGAGGAAAATTTTTTTTTCGAGACAGGGTTTTTTTGTAGCTTTGGTGCCTGTCTCAGAACTAGCTCTTGTAGACCAGGCTGGCCTCGAACTCCTAGAGATCCACCTGCCTCGGCCCCCCGAGTGTTGGGATTATTAAAGGCATGCACCACCACCACCCAGCAGAAAATAATTTTTAAAAAGTCTATAAATACTTGACTATACAAAGTTATAAATTTTATCCAGATAGTCACCAAACATGGTGTTTGGTAAAACCAAATAAAATTAATACGAAAATTTAAACGACACAGTTGAAACATGTCAATTGCACAGCTTTAGGAAACTCAAGAGATCATTCAGGGTTGACTAAAGTGTAAAGACAAAGAGTTTTGATTGGCCTCCTAGCATCTTACCTTGGGCCCCATCTGGTGTCTGTGACTGAAACACCTCTGCTGGGCAGCGCGCTTCATGAGAGCATCAAGACTTCAGCCCAGGCAGCTGGGTACATCCTCACACTCACTGGAGATGCAGATGAATGCTGAGCATGATGACGTATGCTCAGCTACAAGATGAAGCTCAGAAATCTGCAGAATGAAAAATTCCACCATCGAGTATCTACAACTAGAGAAAAATTTGCTAGAAAAGCAGCATTATCACAAATACTGAATTATCTGTTTATTTCTAAATAATAAATATTCTTCCTTCCTGAGAGCTGGTGTGACTTAATAAAAGGAATTTGACATAGATGTCCAGGAGAACCTGAGTTCAAATCCTGACTTTCTTACTCATTAACCTTGGTCAAGATACTCATCTCCCAAAACCTTGCTTCCCTTATTTTATAAAACGGGCATAGTAACACTTAACCCCATGTAAATGCTAAAAGTCTTCAATGCAAAGAAGAGTTAAAGCACTTAGCTTATGGTGTAACTTATAGCCCTTTCCTATGATTGGCAGTATGGAGGCCATAGATGCCTGGCGTTACTGTAAAAGATATTAACCAGGAGTAATTTGTCAGAGCTCTGGCAGCCTTCCTCAAAAAGTTCAGGAAGCTGAAAGTCCCCAAAAGGATGGACACAGTCAAGCTGACCAAAAATAAAAAGCTTGCCCCTGCGAGGAGAGCTGCTTCTATACATGAGCTTCTCCCACAGCGCAGCACCTGTACCTCCATGGTGGTATGGGGTCGGCTCCCTGACCAAGATCTATGAAAGACAGCAGAGAAACGGTGTCGGGCCCAGCCACTTCAGCAGAGGCTCCAAAAGTCTGGCCAACTGGTTCCTCCAAGCACTGGAGAGGTCAAAAATGGTAGAAAGGGAACAAGATGGGTACCACAAGCTAATACCTCAGGGACAGAACGATCTGGATAGGAAAACCAGACAGGTGGCAGCTGCCAACAAGAAGCATTAGAACAAAAGATGCTGGGTTAATAAATGTCAAGATTAGCTATTTCTTCCTTTCTCTTGAGTTTTAACAGTGACTACCTAGTGCTTCTGGGATCAGAATGGGGGTGGGGTTGGGAAGACCATAATGTAGCAATCTGTTTTGCTCACTGAAGAAAAAATTGGATGCTTTCCTTACCGTATGTGAAACCACATGGTTTATAATTAGTTATGAAAACCTAGAGGCTAGTCCAGGTGTAGTGGCATAAACTTCTAATCCCAGAATTCAGAAGTTAGAAGCAGGTGTGGGTTTGAAATAAATTATGTAGTAAGTTCCAGGCCACCCAGAGCTCCATAGTGAAATTCTTGTCTCAAATTGAAACCTGGCTCAATTTCTCATTGAAATAAGCAGAAATTGTGGAGGAAATTACCCAGCAGCTGTAGAGATCTGGACCATAAGTAGTAACAGAATTTAAGGTCAATACTCTGCTGAATAGTAAGTATAAACAAAGATGTAAACAAAATATTTTCAGAAGTAGTCAAATATGTTCAGAAGGAATATTTGTTTCCTATTTTTAGTTTTCATCTTTGGGTATTGTTTTATGTACCTTTTGACCAGAAAACTAATATATTTTGATTTTATATATAAGTCATTTTTCTGTTTCAAAGCTATAGCACTGGGTTTTAGAGACTATTTCATAAGGCTGTCTGGCTAATTTTAATTCTGATATAAAGCATATTGAAGGGACTATGGACTCTGTAGCAGCCAAGAGAACAAAACATACTTTGCATACTAAGAACGATGTTTTCATTCTGTTCAGACTTCCTTGGCTCCGTTGCCCTGCTATGTTTATCTTATTGAGCATCCTTCCCTCAAATACGCAACCACTCGTTCCATTGCCAAGTATCCAGTTGGTAAGTTGCACTTCCTACTGGCACAGGTAAAGAAAATACAACCTAACTGAAACACAAAGAGCGTAATCTAGCTCCCTCCCATATCATTAATCTTACAATGATCAGGTGAACAGATTAACTGTAGGCAAACCATAACCATACCTAATTTCCTGAATTTCTCTGAGCAGATCTCTGGATTTATTCCTAGTATTTTATTTGCTGAAACACTCAGACTCTCAAATTAGTCTGTTGTTTTCATTCCCAAAACTCAAGTGGAACAGAACCGTCTCTTACTCCACCAAACTGTATTGCATACAGGATTTGTATATTCCATAGGTATTTGTGTGTCTGTTGGAGATCAATCCTGTGCTAGGTCTTTAGGATGTAGCAGTGAACAAGACACACAGTCTTACCTCAAGGAGCTCAGGGTCTGATGAGAAGATGGGGCTGTAGTCAGATAGTCACTCCGTAGTGGTGAACTGCTATTGTAGGGGGTGGCTCCATTCTGTTTCCTGGGAGACCTACTAGTACAATTAATTATCTACAGCTACACTGTAAGGAAAACTGTTTCTACAACTCAAATCTATTTTGTTAGATCTCAGATGTTTTAAACAAGAGTAATTTGAAAGATACTTGAAAAGTAATAAGAGCAAATAATTTTTTAAAAATTTAAAAAAAAATAACTGACTCTTCAATTGATAGGATGTTTTGTTACATGGTTAAAGTAATTTATTATTTTAATTAGAGAACTATATCCAAATATATTTACATTATATAGGCTAAATATCCAATAACATTACATAGTTTAAATAAACCAAAGCTTTGGCCTGAGCCTATAGCTCCGTGATAGAGTCCTTGCCTAGTATTCTAATACTTCAAAATATATAGATAGACATACAGATAGAGTGACAAAAAGAAAAGCAAGCCAGAGCCTAAATGATACAGGATAAGGCTGTGCTTGCATAGCAGGTATGGGGGCTTTCACCCAAACGCCAGCACTGCAATAATAATAACAGGATAGACAGCCTGGTTCCGTTTGACACTGAATCAAAGGATAAGACTTCTGGAGTCTGACAGATCAGGCTTGGTCTATGGTATTTATGGTTGGTACTTTTTTTGATTAGAACAAATGTCTGCTGATGTGTTGTCCCTTGCAAATAGAGCTAAATTTTTAAACATTTTAACCCAAGGAACTATAAGTACATTATAACTAAGAAATGCTAGTGTGTTCTCCTGATTTTTAAACTTTCTATGGAGTTTATTTATTAAATGATGAGTAAAAACACTAAAGATCAAGAGAATTTTTATTCAACATTTTATAGTCACAAAGAGTGTCCATACAAACTTATTTTATAGCTGCTACTAACAGTGTAAGGACCATTCTAATGCCAAGTTGCCTCGAGTCTCACAGGATCCTTCTAGATAAACTTAATTGCAGTTTGCTGCAGCCAGCCTGACAATCAAACCCAAGCATATCAATTCACACTCCCCACCCTCAACATGGATGAGTAAGTAGACACAGTCTTCTTAGATTCTAGGCATAACCTCATCTCAAATTTAGCACTTTTTATGACCCTTGTTTCTTCCTTTCTATCCTGAATGTGTCTTGGTCATATCCTATGGATTTAATGATTCTGCACTGATGAGAGATCTTGGGCCGAACTTAATTTTGGTTTTGAAAAATATTCTCAACTTGGGAAAACAAACATGATTCTTGTGCATGAAGTATCCACCTCTACCACTCTATAGCCCTGGCTCTCCATGTAGATCTGTCTACTACACCACATCTTCTGCTTCCCTCACAACAACATGAGGCACCAGCATCTTTTTATTCTTCACATCTTCTGCCTCCCTCACAACATTGTGAAGGACCAGTTTCTTTTTATTCGTCTATTCCACAATCTTGAATGTGTCTTTACCATGGTCACAAGACATGCACTGTAGTTCTCTAAACATCACTAAATAAAGAGTGTCTCAGGTCTCCCCTGCACAACCTTTATTTGGGGCCACCAGTCACTAGAGTGCTATGATTACTGTAAGTGCCTTAAGCCATTCAGCACTTACTCTTGAGCTGAAAAAATGGTACTTTTGCCTTGTACTGTGGATACTCAACCAAAACTCTGATTCTGTTGGAATGAAGAAAGATGACTCTGAGGTGGATAAACAACCTCTCCTACAATACACAGACATATCCAGAAACATATTTTTCAGAGTTTTACAAAATATTTATTCAGAAATAAATACCTTACCAAGACCTAAGATACCACGCATGTAAAGAAAGGCCTATTTATACTCATAGGAAAAATAAACACAACAAAGATATTACATGAAGATGATAAAAATACAACTTTTTCTTTTTTTGTTTGTTGGTTGGTTTTTGGTTTTCCAATACAGGGTTTCTCTGTAGTTTTGGTGCCTGTCCTGGAACTAGCTCTTGGAGACCAGGCTGGCCTCAAACTCATGGAGATCCGCCTGCCTCTGCCTCTCAAGTACTGGGATTAAAGGCGTGCGCCACCACCTGAAAATATAAGTTTTAATAGACTAGGAAGTAGTAAAAAAATGGGTGAAAATCAGATGAGGGTAAAGGAACTTATGAGTTTTGTGGAATTAAACGATGGCGTGCAGATTAGAATTTGCAAATGGTTCAAAGGATGGAGAAGGTGGTGAGTGAAGGGATGATTTGTGGGAAGCTGGGCAGGAGAAAAGGACTAGACAAGTGGTTTAGAGAAGGAACATTCTGTAGTGCTGAGCGTGGAAAGACATGATAGTACAGGTACAATTTTACTTGAATAGAAGAAATTAATCTAATTTTACAGAAAATGAAGAAAAAACTTTGCACTATCTTATCAGTAAGTTATAGATACAGTGCTATAGTAGAGGCAAGAACGTTGCTCAATAATCACATAAACTAAACCCAGGCTTAGTTAGATAGATTTCTGACTACATAGACATATTTCATCCTGATAAGTTAACTATGAAGTCCATGACAATTTCTCGTTGTGGATACCTATTACTTCTCAGCATCACTTGGTCTGCATATTTTACTAAGTAGTAAGTTTTAAATGTTTTGAAAATACTGAAGGGCATAAAAGAAAAAGGTAACCCTAAGTTCCTACTTCAGCACAGCTCTGTGGGTTTCCATGTTCTGTATTTACTCTGACATTGTCTCTGCTTTTTTCCATGATATTAAACAGTCACAACACTGGGATCCTAGATCTTTATATTTTAAATGCTTTTTCTTTCAGCGTATTCTACTACTTACATAAAAGTGATGTGTCTTCTTCTGTACATAGGTATAGAAGTTGGTCCCCAGCCTCAGGGTGTTCTGAGAGCTGATATTTTGGACCAAATGAGAAGAATGGTTAAACATGCTCTTGATTTTATACACCATTTCAACAAAGGTGAGTGTTGGGTGGCAGTTGTTTCCGTATGTTTCTGTACATCCATGAGGGGTGTCTCTATGTAAAAGTTAACCACTAGACATTGAAATATGAAGAAAATCTAGGTCATAGTTATCACATTTATAATCTTAACTAGTTAGCTGTGTGTGTTTGTGTGTATGTGTGTGTGTGTGTTGCCTTCCCACACCAGAGTCTCACTACCTAGGCTGGCCTTGAACTTTCAGTCTTCCTCCCACAGTCTTCCGAGGGCTGGCATTACAGATGTGTGCCATAGTCAGTTCCTAGAGTGAAAAGTATCTTCAACAATTCCTCAAGGAATGACCAGTAGAAACGAACCAAAAAAAAAAAAAAAAAGCAGCTCTCAAAATAAAGCTCCCAAATCAAGCCATTTTCCTTATCCCATTAATTTCCATTTTGAACAACAAAGACAGGTGAAGCCCACCCTGCTGTGAGGGTCTAGAAGGCTAATGGATACTGGGAAGACATTTTCTTCAACAGCATAGCCACTAGTCAGCTGCCCACGCTCCTGTAAGTTCCCTCGCCATGCTTCTGTGAGAAGTCCTAAAGAAACTGATGGGTTAGAAGAAAGACACAAAGGAAGGAAGGACTGGGTGGGAAGCGGAAAGTAACATGAGTGGTGAGGGGAAAGGGGAGAATAATGGAGCATCAGTGTGATCAAAACATATCACCTACACATTTGAAAATAAAACCCATCGTTGTGTACGGCTAATATATGCTGGATAAGAATATAAGAATGATTAGAAAGTTCACAAGTTCAATAAGCATAAGATGTTCAGAATCATGAGTAATCCAAAGGAGTACAAAATGTTTTCACTCATGAGATTAAAAAAATATTCAAATCTGATATTTCTGATACTAAGTTTTGGCAAAGCTGTAGGAAAAAAACTATTCTCATTTCTTTCTGGTGATCATATAATTTGGTAAAGACCCTTTAGGGTATAATTTTATAGTATTTTATTTTTGCTTATTTACTGTTTGTATAAAAGAGAGAGTGTGACCTATGTGTATGGTATACAAGCACGTGTGTGTCAGTGTATTGCTGGGCCATGTGAGGACTTTGAATGCCCTTTTCTATGACTCTCTGCCTTATTCCTCTAGGACAAGATATCTCACTGAATCTGGAGCTAGGTTGGCAGCCACAAACTAGGCAATCTTTCTCATTCCTTCCTTTCAGTTCTCTATGTTACAGGCACACATGGTCACATGTGGCCTTTTATTTTGGTGCTGGTGTCCAAGTTCAGGTCCTCATGCTCATCCAGCAAGCACTCTTACTCTCACTGAACCATCGCTGCATCCTCAGTACATCCTTCTTGAAATGCACAAACCACAGGATCCAGCAACTCCGTATCTCAAAGAAGCACCATTGCATGCACATCCAGTGTGTTACATAAGAACTGGCTGCTGCAGCTTTGTCTCCAATCAGAAAACAATGGAAATGACCCAAATGTTGAATGGCTGTGAAGAATTAAATAAAATAAAATTGGACTGGTCTTCAAAACTGTTAATTTTTCAAAATCAAGCTGTTAATTTTGGAAAAAGCAAGATAACTCAGTGGGTACCATCACTTGATCTGCAAGCATGAGGACCTGAGCTTGAATATTTAGCACCCACATAAAAATCTAGGTGTAGCTAACCATTCCTGACAGTTAATGAACACAAGCCTGCAGAAGGCCAGCGTGTTGCTCCAGAACACACAGCCTGGAAAACCAGAAGAGAACCCAGCGGCTCTCTTGGTCGTGGTCCTAGCAAACACTGAAATGTGTGCCTTCTGTTTCTACCTCTGTCTCCGCACTTGTGGGGAGTATACTGACAAATAACTCCAGTAACTCCAGAGTGTTCTTGGCTTCTTGACATTTATGAGCCTCCATAACAGACTGACTGCCTTGCAGCACTCTTCACTTCCTTCCTTAAAGGGCCAGCTTCCGTATTCCTAGGACATTTCTTCCTAGCTGTGATTAACACATGCCATCTCTTACCATAGGAAAAGAATTCCCTCCCTGTGCTATTGAAGTCTATAAAATAATGGAGAAAGTTGATTATCCAAGAAATGAAAATGGAGAAGTGGCTGCTGTTATCCATCCTAATCTGCAGGTAACATCTGTTTCTTTGAAACACTGAAAATAATAATATTCTGCTTTGAGGTATAATTTTACTTCCATACAGCATTTTGTGCCCATTAGCTAATTTATTAGTATTTAAAGTATTGCACCAGTCAGACTTCCATCACTATAATGAAATAAATGACAGAAAAAAAATCTAATAACCTGAAAAAGGTGTTATTCTGCTCACCACTCTGGAGGTTTCAGAGTGGCTGCAGTACTTTGGGGTTGCAGCAAAAGCACATGGTCAAGACAACTGCACAGGCAAAGATGTAAGTGTTTGCAGGACAGGACCACAGCCTCCTCCAGAATCCTCAGTGACCTAAAGGCTTCTCTCGATGAACCATTTCCTACAGCTCCACATCTCCTCCTGATAGGACCACTCTTAGGAACCAAGCCTTTAACACCTGGACCACTAGGAGACACTACCCACCCCAAACTATAGCAGGGAGGACCCCAGACCCTCTCTGGGTATTTGCTACATATAATGTGTGCTGGCTCTACGGGCACATCCATGAGTGTGGCCTATAGTCTTGTGTGACTAATAGTCTAGAAACACTGAAGTCCGATGTACTCTCTAGAAATGATGTTAGCCACACACTATAACCTCATAATGGGGGAAGAGAGTCATCCAAACAAGACTTCCAGAATTGAAAAGGCCTACCCATGTGCAATTGTAGGGAAAATTATATACATTTTATTTGGCTTTTAATTTTTTTGAGAAAGGGTTTCCCATTGTTGCCCAGGCTGACTCAAAGTCATGATTTTCCCAACTCAGCCTCCAAAATTTGGGGTTACATTAGTGTTCCACCACACCTCGATGTAGTTTTTAATTTCTGAGCCCTTATATTCTTATATTAGAATAGACATTGAGCATGGTATTATGGTGCATGCTGATAATTCCAACACTTGGGAAGATGAGACAGCAAGATTGCAGATTTGAGGTCAACCTGGGTTACAGTAGAAAACCTTGTCTCCAAAAGAGAGGAGATGGGAAGGCATGAGGATGGAATGTCAGAAGAGAAAAGAAAAATCAGAACTGTCCCATAGAGACACAGCTATGAGTGACAGATCTCCAACTAATGGTCTCCGCCGCTGGCCACATAGTTGACACCTCCCTGAACTTGTTTTTCTGGGACATTCCTGACATGGTCCCATGACTCTCCTCTGAATCCCAGTATCACACCTTGCCTACTTTAGTCAATAATGCCAGAGTGAAGGAGCTCTCAGGGCAGTTAGGAAGCCGAAGTCTGGAGAGGTCAAAAGAAACGTCAGGGAAGAAGAGCGATCTCAAACAGCTACAACACCCACTCCATCGTTAGACCTTGGAGTGAAAGAGGTGAAAGGGGGAAAGAGACCCGGAGGGCTGTGTGATGCAAGGCTTTTCAGCCACGAATACATATCACCTAGAGAGCTTCCTATTTTTAAAAAAAATTAAATTCTTATAAAATACATCCCGACTACAGTTTCTACAGTCCCCCACACACACTTCACTCCTCCCAACACCTCTACCTCACCTCTCCCCGAGACGTTTCCCTTCAAAAAGGAGAACTTTTTAAACTCTAACAGTGCCAAGCATCTCAGCTAATCTGACACTATTGGCTTGAGTATCCGTGGTTGAAAACCACTGATCCGATTCAGATCCCTACTTAATGGCTCTAATAGCCATCAGGCAACTTCATAAAGCATCCTGCCCACAAATTCAGACCAATAGAGCATATCCTGCCTTTAGCTTCATGGAAGCCAAATGGAAACCAGAGGAGCCATGAGCAATGGTCTCTAAAGCCAATGTGGGCTAGAGAGGAAGAAAACAAGCTCAGGAAACAGGCAGCTGACAATACCACAGCAGTGTGTTCTCCTCAGTGACGTCCTTCAAAGATGCAAAAGTAGTCCTGGGGAGGCTGAGAAGGCAGGATGAGGACAGCAACCAACTTGATTAGTGTTGGGTCCCAAAGTCAGGAAAGATCGTTGGAATTGCTAGACCATAAGGAAGGACTCAAGTCAGGTCCGGTGGCACAAGCCTGTAATCCCAGCTACTTGGGGAGGCTAAGGCAAGAGGAGCACAAGTTAAAGGCCTTCCTTGGTCATAGAGTGAGTTCAAGGCCAGCCTGAGCAAACTAGTGAGACCCTGTCTCAAAGAAAGAGATAGAAAGAAGGCTTGGAGTATAACCCAGTGATAGAGCTAGCATGTGCAGAACTCTAAAGTCAGTTCTCTGTGTCTCTCTCTCTCTCTCTCTCTCTCTCTCAATCTCTCTCTCTCTCTCTCTCTCTCTCTCTCTCTCTCTCTCTCTCTCTCTCTCTCTCATATTTCTATAAGAGAAATTGATAGGTCGTTATTTCAGTAAATATGTTTGAATATCTACTAAGCCTGTTCTCCCTGGGATGGAAGATTCAGGACCTGTGTTTCTGAGACGAGGCTAACTCCTTTCACCGGTACCAGAGTATGCTAGGCTCCCAAGTGATTCTGAAATGCAGCGGGCTGAGAAAAAGTACTGCGGGCGGCTCTTCTCAATTTCAGTCAGTTTATTCACAGGAAGATTGTTTTTCAGTGGGTCTCAGCAGGGGGTGGAGTTCTACTTTCTAACAGCCTCCCCGGCAATGCTGATGCTGCTGTAAAAAGTTAGGAATGCAGAGGACTAGGCCCTGCCCTGGCCTAGACAGTCATCTTAGCCAACTCCCCAGATGTTTGGTCAGCACAGCAATGCTGGAGATGTTCCAGGGCTCCGGTGGTCTGAAGCATTAGAGTTAGAAGGCTCACATACATCCCAACGTGTCCCTCTTGTGTCTTTTCAATAGAGAATGTCTTTTTTAATGGACAATGTTAGTCATCTACAGTCTGACAGAAACAAATTAAAAACAGGAGGAAAAGCCAAATGTAATTAATTAATGTATTTTGATGTCTCCTGAGAGGATCAAGACTGGAAACCGTTAAACCCTGGAGATCCCGTGTTTGTGTCTCTTGATGGAAAGACTATGACACTGGGTGGAGACTGTACCGTGTACCCCGTGTTTGTGAACGAAGCCGCATATTATGAAAAAAAAGAAGCATTCGCCAAGACAACCAAGCTAACACTCAACGCAAAAAGCATCCGCTCCACTTTGCACTAAAAATCACTGCCAGCTCACAGTTCCGGGGAGTCTTGCAAGCCTCCAGGACTCTGTAAACGCCCAAGAGCAGGGATGTGCCTTATTCTAGTTCTTTTCCTCAACACTTGGTCCCATGCCTCAAGCAGTAAGCATCCGGGCCAGTTTCTGAAAGAAAAGAATAAATTAATGAATGTCTTTCAAATATATTCTGAATGAGTTACATACTGCTCATTCAGGCAAGTGTGTTTCTGGTTTCTGTGTTACATTACATTCTGGTAGCTTTAACATAGCTTCACATTCAAAAGATAACACTGAAATCAATGCTACGTGAAGTTTTCCACATAGCAAGACAGTGAGATAGATTGAATGCACATTTTTAAGTAATGCATAAGTGCTTCTAAAAACTAATACTACAGAATATTTTTAAGTTTTGACTTCTTTAAAGTCTTCAGAATTTCTAATTATATGTTATCTTGTTTATGGCCATGGTACCATGTGTGAGTGCTGTCTAATTAAATGTGATTTTTTTTTTGTTTTACATGTATTTATTTATTGTGTGTGTGTGTGTGCGTGCACACGCGCACTCACATTCAAGCCACTATATATATGCAAAGTTCAGAAGTGGGTTCTCTCCTTCCACCATGTGGATCCCAGGGATCAAACTCAGTCAGTCATGGCTATAAGCACCCATACCTCAATAACAGTCTGTAAATTTTTATGTGTATGGGTGTTTTCCTGCATGTATGTTTGTACACCACATGTGTGCCTGATGCCCTCTACAGCCAGAAGAATGTGTCAGAATCATGAGCTGCCATGTGGGTGCTGGGAATTGAACGCAGGTCCTCTGGAAGAGCAGTCAGTGCTCTTAAACACTGAGCCATCTCTCCAGCCCCAGGGTAAATTTTTTTTTATTCAAAGTTGTCAAATACGTCAAATAAGATTCCAGATATGTATGTGCTTTGAGATGTAGACACTACATGAGGGTGATGTGTAATGCAGCTTGCTAGCTCAGTCACTGAACGAGTCTAGCAGCAATGCTTCAGACCCAAGCCTTATTTTTACCCATTCCTGTTAAGAAACACCCTAGGATTTCTAGTTGGTCTTCATATTCCCACACACACAATGCAAAGACAAAAGCACAGCCATGGCATGACAAAATAAATATTTATTAGAAATCAAAACTAGTTCCTCAATGAGGCCAAAGTAGTTTTCCTCTTTATGATTTCTTAAACATGTAGTTTCACATATACAACACTAAAAACAAGTCCATAAGTTAAATCTTACAAGAATCAGGCACATTCAGCGAGAACAAGATGATCACTCTGTATCTGGAACTAAGATCACAGTAAAAATAAAATAAGTTAAAAATGTGTAAGTCAATGCAGAAGTCAAGTATGGCTTACAGACTCTGGTGAGGGCCTGTCTCCCCGCGCCTCACTCAGAGCCACAGGAGACAGTCACCAGGCCCTGAGGAAGGAAGGGAACCTCAATAATACTGTACTCTCTTGGGCAGGTGCCTAAGAGCTCAATGACTTCACAGTACAACTTTTTACTCCTTTCCCCTGACACTGGGAAAGAAGGTGAGCAGCTGTGTTATTCCAGACACACGACGACATAATGTCTAGAATACAGAACTCTTCTTGGGGAAATGTTCAGCTAAAACAGGGTTTACACCTACTGTCTGAGTATGCTCGATCACATACCTGGAAAATCTCTTCTCCCTACATTACTGAAATGTAAATCATGGAGTTTTAAGATGTCCTGATAGGCCCAAAGAGTCAGTGGTGTATATTGCTGTTGCCATTGTTGTTGTTTTGTTATTTGTGACTTTAGGCACACTTGACATTCAGACTTGTCATTGGGCTTTGTAAAGACAATGGTCACTTCCATGTCATGTGAAGGAAAAGAAACTAGCCCCTGAATGTGCCAACTACAAAAACACCCAATGATTAAAACTGTGCAGAAGGGTACCTGTGGCCCAGGTATCAGGACATGCTAGCCTCACCTGCTCTGACATGATTTTAGACAAGTCTATGTTCATTCCAGAGCCCGAGTGCCCAGGTGTATGGTAAGGGATTTGGACCTTTTGAGCAGGACGCTTTTTGTTGAGCTTCCCTTCCTTGGTTTGGTGAACCTTCTTAGCTTGGCCCTCTGGGGAAATCCCACATCTAGACGAATATCCAGTTCAGAAATGGTTTGCCAACAAATTCCATCCAAATCCACAGAAAGCGGATCTCCACAACACGTAAGAAGACAAAGGTTATTTCTATCTGCCCCACTTCTGCCACCTTCTCTCCAAGTGGGGCATGCAGAGCTCAGTGATTTTGTCTACCAACTTCCAAGTCAAAGCAAAGCTGGGATCAAAGCTCCCTAGAGCCAGTGGTTGCCCTTCCAACAAAGACATCTGTTCAAGATGACTCAGGGGAACTCCAGCAATAGAATACTGGTTTGTAGACTACCTAGGAACCTTAACTTTACCTGATTGCTTCTTCAACATCTTCCCCCATAAGTGCTCAGCCCATTTCTTGAACACCCCCAAAAGCTGAAGCAGCTGTTTACCAAACTGAACCACAATGTTAGTCTAGTTCTCTCACTATTTCTGACCGTCAGGGGCACATCTGCTCCTTCTGCCCATGATGTACCCCCCCCAAAAAATATTCTCTTTTCCAGGGACACAAACATGCTTTGTCATCTTTCCCTCCCTGAGTGTGATCTTTGAGCGCTAGAGATCCCGGACGTTGAGCAGGCAGTGGCTGCTGCTGGCTGAGCAGTCTGTGGTGCTGCAATCACCCACCACCTCCCCCCACCTGGCCATGCAGGATGGCATCCCAGCTTCTCATCTGCCCAGCTAAGCTGGGACACAGAACCTTCCAGAATGGCAAAACCTGCCGCAGTGAACTGCTTTACCTGGTCTCCAGTCCGATTAGCTCACCATTGCCAAGTTTTTTGGTAAAAAACTAAAGACCCACCTTATTTATGATCCCTTTAACATTTTTTTAAATCTTCCTAATGCTATAATTCTATCTCAAACCTTTCCATATGAACCCTTTTTACTAAATACCGGAAGGGGGGTGGTATCACATTTCCAGTCATTGGGAAAATTTTCCAGTCTCCAAACTGACTCTGAAATTTCAAGGAGAAGAAAACTCTGAGGCTGAGGATGTGAAAAGAAGCCCCAAGTCAGGCAGGCCCTCTTTCCTCAGAAGCCTTCTGCTACAGTTTCAAAATTCACAGTTAACAAAAAACGTGCGCTAGCGGGGCATCTCGGGTGTCTTGCTGAATCCCCACAAGGGAGACACGGACGTGTGCTTGTCACCTCTGAGTTTTAAGACCTGTAAATAAATCACCTGCTATTTCTGACTCAGCTACAGTGAGGCCAGCACGGGGTGAGACTGGAAGAGGATGCTCGCCAAACCCTCCCCCCAGATCACAGCCTGTCTCCCTCAGGCTTTATGTTGTCCTGACTCTAGCTACCCTGAGACCTAGTATATAATACTTACATCCTGTCCAAAAGCCCAAAATCTGGTTCTCAGCTTTCAAAGTTGCTTACTTCATCTGAAGTAATTTTCATTCAAAACTGAAATGTCTTTCCTGAACTAAAAATAAAAACCGTGTGTCAATTCACTATTAAAAACATCTCTCGGTTGGAGACAGTTTTAGCCTTGGATTTCATTCCAAGGATGGAGTCCGGTTTCCTGTTTTCTGGAGTCTCTGGACAGGCATTTCCATAGCTCAGTGTCCTCCTCCCCCAGCAGATCTGACTTAGCTAGGGTACAGGATCAAAAGTCTGCCACAAATTCAGGAGATGTTGTCATAGTGGGGAAGTAAAGGAGAAGTCTGGGTTAGAGCTGGCCCCAACATATAGGGCCATTCCAGGAAAAAGACTACTCGCCCCGCTCCTCAGACTCCAGGTCCTCCCTACCCTAGCACATGCGCCCTAGAGCTGAGCCAACCTGCAGGTACCTCACACTGGACTTCAGGAGACTTCCAGACTCAGGACTGCTGGCCAAGAATTAGTACTGACCTTCCTCAAGTCACAAAACCCAAGGTGCTTCCCTTTCAGACCCTGACCACTGCCCCTCTGCAGCAACCAGTAGATGTGAGGAAGGTCTTGCTTCTAATCCAGCATTCTGCACAGCACCTCAGCCCCAGGACTCGGCCTGCAGCATCAGGACCAACCATGGCGTCACATCAGCTCTAGGCCATGCTTCTACACCGACGTTTCTGGAAATTCCTCTAGTTCATCAAATGCATAGAGGGTTGTTTTGCTATTGCTCCTGGAAGAATCTTGGATTTTGTTCACATCTGCTACAGAGGGGGAACAGAGAGAGGGAGAGACATGGGCTTAGAAGATCATCACTCTGTACCCTGTTCCTGTGTGTTAGTGCAATCCTTTTTCCTGGTGCTGCTGAGGATTGACCCCAAGGCCTGAGCTACATCCCAGCCCCCAATCACTCAGTTTTCAAAACCTGTTCTAAATAGTGCTATGGAGAGTCAGAGCTGGGGAGGACCTCCAGTTACACCGGTGGGAAAAGCACATGATTCACATGAAGTCATATGATCCACAAAAGAGGGTCCCACACCACCTCCCAGCAATTGTACCTGTCCGTCTTATGGGCCCTGGATCTTCATTAAGGAAGGACACGTGTGTTTTCCATTCAGTCCACTTCACCTCGTTGATCCTGCATGTATGACCATTGTAATCACTACTCCATGATCGCATCTCAGTAAACAAACACATTTGGGATGCCCCAGTTTCTACACAGCTCCTCTTCTGACTGACAGAGATATGGGGATGCTAACCTCCTGTTTGCTGATCCTGCCCATCTCAAAGACTACTGCCCCACAGCCCCTCCCTCTTGGTTACCGCAGACACAGCCGGAAGTCCTCGTCTGCTACTTTGCACAGCTCTCCCATGCGGAATCTGCTTCTCAGCCATTCTGGTAACATTTTCTCAAACTCCAAGATGGTCCTGGCTCTCTAGGGAGATAAAGAAGCCTGAACTAGCTTCTTCAAGCTTGCTCCGCGAGCCCTGCTCCAGAGGAGGGTCCACCCTCAGGTACCCCATCTAGTAGCCCACTCCAGTCCTACTTGTGCTTAATGCATAGGTCTTGACAGTTGAGGTAATC